CCTCCCCACAGGACCAGCCCCTGGGGCCGCCTGCCCTCTGCTCCGAGCAGTAAGCCCCTGGCACCACACAGGCTCCCCTCTGGGCGGGAGCAGCCGTGCCAGAATCATAATCGCGTTGCAGATGAGAATCCACCGTGTTCAATAGCCTCAGCTCAACGCCTTCCATAACACTTCTGGTGAAATCTGGCAAGCCTGTGGCGTTGCTTTCTCCTGTTTGCTACCCTTCAGGTAGCAGTGTGCCTGTTACTAGCTCTGTCAGGAGAAGCAGCCCCATAACCCAGGGGTTTGAGAGAAGGTGATAGGATCAGCGGTGTTAGTACAGTACATGGAGATATTCGGGGGGCTGCAGCAGATCCCATTTCATCTCAGCTGGGGTTCAAGCTGCTCCCCAAGTGCTCTCCAGAACAGTCAGTGCCAGGACAGGTCTGGGAGGGCAAGCATGACGATACTGTTCCCTGAAACAGGTCTCCCTCAGCCTTCCCAGACTGGCATGCATTGGGAGTCTGACAAGAATGAGGGCTCCTGAGCAGGTGAGCTGCTGCCAGCACTGGAATTTTATTTGGTATCCTCAGAGCTGAACCACAGCTGCATCATTGTAAGTAGTTGTTCTCTTCATCTGAGTTCTCTGGAAGTAGATTCTCTGCCATGGAAGGGGAGAAACCCTGTTCTTCAAAAGTCTGCAGTATTTAAGTTCAAGTTACCCTCCCTGTTTGCTGCAAGTCAGGGCCTAGGGAGAGTCTGTGAGCAAGCCCCTGAGGGGTCACAGAGAGATGCCTTTGTATAAACTACCTCGTTCTCTCTGAAAGCTCATCTCAGTGGTTTGGCTTGTGGATGCTTTTCCTGAGCTATTGATTTTGAGATGCCCAGACAAAATCCTCATGCAGTTTTCAGCTTCCTGGGGCTGAACTTTATCCTGAAGTTCATAAATTATGGGCAGAGTTTGTGGAAAGGGTTGTAAACAGGCACACACCACTGGATAGGGGAGAGACCTGTTGGAAGCTGAAAGCAACGAACCCAGCTTTGTACGTAAGCACAGGTACAGATGCAGCCTCTTCCCTGAACACGAGTGTATTTTCCATCACAGAGCCAAGCGTAGAGCGAGACACTGCCTGAAAGACAACTTTTTTCAAAGAGCATTGTTGCATCCTTTGCTTGGACTCAAGAAATTTGCCTCCAGAACAAATGCAGAAACATGTTCCCTTCAGTGATCCTGAAGGTATGTTTTATTTGTACTGTACTTAATTTTTAAATTTTCTGTTTATTCTGGACATAGACATACATCCTGCATGTAAATGCCTTTTGAGCAATGTCCGTGCGGGATTTCATACTCCTGCTTGCATGGGAGGGATCAGAATCAAGCGATTAACATTCTCAGGGACAGCAGGTGAAATTACAAACAGTTATGTATGAGACACGTTGGCTCTGTGAAAGATGCATCTGCACAGGATCTGTTGCTCCAGAAATCCACAGCACTTTGCAAGACAGAGTTGTAAGCGAAATGCTGAGTTGTTGCATGTGCAAAATCATTAGCAGCTGTTTGCACAGTTAAAAAAAACTACAGCCTTATTCTAGATCATCTAGAATAGATGCAAGTGCATTCATTATCCTTTGAAAGACTGAACATTGGCCACGAAGAGGTTAATAATATTAGCATTTAAGTGTAATGACAATATTTAGGCTTTGGCATTAACACTTTTTTGAATGGAAGACTGGAAGATCACACTTGGTGCTACTGTTAGTCTGTCAAAAACACAGCGTATTTGGTTACATTCTGATGGTTCCTTCCTATACCAAAGAGCTGCAGAGTTAATTTAGTTCAACAAAAATTGGTAAGTGAAAATATTTTAAATTACAGTTTTGAGACAGTCTGGTTGGGGAGTGAATTCTAATAATTAGCAGAGGAATCTTATTGTGGGTATTTTAAGAATATTTTTTAAAACACATTTTTGTATTTCTAATGTTTTTTGCTATAAGAAGAGATGAATATTAAATTCAGTAAAAGGCATATGATTAGCATAAACACTCTATGAAAGCATTGAGAAATCAGTGCTTTCCCATATCAAACACCAGACTAAGGAAGTATACGTTTCAGGCACATTAGAAGGATAGCAACTTGTCTATCTCCCAATGTTAATGTGATTATTTCATAGGAGTGAATACAGTGGAAGAGGTGAAGTTAGGTGATCAGGGCTGGAATGTTGCTGCTATTCCCAATGCCTGCAGAAGTGAGAAGTTTGATATGGCTTCTTTTCTGCTTATATATACCTTTATCCTAGATTTATTGTAGTCAAGTGCAGTTAATTTATATGGTGCAGATTCACATTATTTCTATGGTAAACCTGGAGTGTCAAAACACAGGAATCTTAATGAGAAAGAGATAAAAATTGAACCAATTTATTTTAAGATTTCTCAAGGAAGGAGTGGAGAGCTGTTACTGCAGATCTGTTTGCACAGGGTAATTTAGTGGTTAATGCAGATTAAGTTTTCCGGAATAGTTTCCCATGTGTTTCTCTATCGTGACTTTTTACTGATGCCACTTGGATGCAATAATAATTGCAACACAGTGACTTATTTCATAACAGAATGTCCTCAGGATGAGGAATTAATTATTCTTTGCTGTGAATACCATTCACAGCCAACTTCTTTGTGTTGCTAGTCAAGTAAACAGCATTTCAGATTTGTCTCCTGCAAAGGCATCCTCAGAAGCTCATTATCCATTTTATACCTCAGTTTTCCAGTTTCTAAAAGGAGATCTATACTTACGTAGTGCAGCAGGGGAGGTTGCAATGCGTGTGAGCGAGTGTGCGTGTGTGAGAGCAAAAGAATGGGGGTGTGTGTCACAGTAAATCCGTACAAAGATGTATTTATACTTCCTCTCTGATAAAAAAAAAAAGTATGTACCACTTAAATTTTATTTAAGTCAGTGTTATGCTCAGGATGCTTATCGTTGTTGCTAAGTTCAATGGTACCATATTTATGCCAGGTTACTTTTTTTTGGTAATACATCAAATTAAGCTAAATCAGTCTAAGCATGATTTGG